CTTTGAGTTATTATCAAGACTGCAATACACCAACTCTGCATACGACACATGCGGAACAATGAGTGATTGAACAAGTTTCAATTTCGTTTGTTGTGGCAATAAGTAGGCACTGCAATATTATTTTCGAAGAATATTGTATATCTTGTTAATAACGGAGTTTATGTGGTCAACGCATGATAATCTTGTGATGATTCTATAACCCAGGTTAGTTGCCGCCTCTTCAAATTTAATGTTTATTCCGTCAAGCAATATCGGTGACATAGAGCTAAGGTCACATTTTGAATGGGAAATAGCAATCGCCTTCGTCTTTGACGCATTTAATTCCAAATTGTTAGCACAGGACCAGCTAGAAATACGTGTGAGATCTTCATTAAGCTTTGCTATCAAATCTTCAACAAGGCCTATGGGCCTTGACAAGTAGATCTGCGTGTCATCAGCATAGAGATGAATGGATGAACTTTGGCAACACTCAACAATGTCATTAATAAACATGCAAAATAGAATGGGACCTAAAATAGAGCCTTGCGGCACCTCTGAAGTTATCGGTTTTAGGCTTGAGTAGTTCTCACTACATTTGACTTGTTGCAGCCGATTCGATAAATAGCTTTTTATTAATTGAAAAGAAAAAGCCCCAACTTTATAATGATAACGCAATTTTTGCAGGAATATGTTGTGATCAATACTATCAAAGGCTTTAGAGAAATCGAGCAACACTAACACTGTTAGATTATTTTTTATCATAGACAGTACGAACGTCCTCAAAAAGTTTAAGCATGTCTGTAGAGAAACTATGCTGACTTCTGAAACCCGACTGGAACTTACTCAGAAGATTATTTTTATCCAAGTGGCAGGTAATTTGTCGCGCAAATAATTTCTCAAAAACTTTTGATAGAGCCGGTAAAATGCTTACTGGTCTGAAGTGCTGCACGCAGAAGAATTTTCATGTTGAATCAACACTTTTTTAACACTTTTTCAGATTATTATTTTTCAACGCGATCGTTCATGTTATTTTAACATAAAGAAATTTTTTTACTGTTCCCACATGTTAAATCAACATGAAGGAATAGTGTGAATTTAACATGATTAGTAAGTTTGATTTAACGTGACTTCCTGCTGAATTAACACAAATGTCACGCTGAATTGACATGAACCAATGGTTAAGTTAACAAGTCTTCTTGTTAAAACCACACCATCTCACGTTAATTTAACACTAGTTCATGTTAAATTAACATTATGATATGTTAAATTAACAGCATACATCTTGTCAAGTTAAGACTATCCCATGTTAAATTAACACTATGTCATGTTAAAATAACACGATGTCATGCTAAGTTAACACTACCTTTCATGTTGAATTAACACGAACTGTCATGCTAAATTAACAGTACCTTTCCTGTTAAGTTAACACTGTCTTTAAAGTTAAATTAGTACGATATGTAATGTTAAACTAGCACTACCTTTCATGTAAAATTAACACGATCTCTCATGTCAATTTAACACTATTTTCATGTTACTTTAACACTATCTCTCATGTCAAATTAACACTATTTTCATGTTACTTTAACACTATCTTTCATGTTAAATTAAAACGATCTGTCATGTTAAACTATCATGTTAAAAATACAAGATTTCTGTTTTTTAGGTTTTTGAAATTTATTTCATTCATTTAACAAAAACTTACATATTAACATACGTACTCGTATAAGAAGAAATAAGGCACAAAAAAGTTCATGTTGTATTCAATAGAATATAATATAATTTGTATAATACATAAAAGAGCTAATTTCTTTTCGCAAGGGTGTACATACACTCACGGAAAAAAGTATTGGTAAAGAGAACTTTTCGCAATATGTGCACAAATTTTTATTGTAGTTTTTGCGGTAATTTTTTATAAAAGTAAAGTTCATTCTACATCAAAAGACATAAATAATTATCTCTAAACTTTGTGCGAAACTCGGGAAAATTCAATAAATTTTCATGCATACATATATATCTATGTTTTCCAACTTTTTAATAAGCGTTTTTGGAATTTTAGTGGCAAAGCGTAAATTGGAAAATGCTAAAACATCGCGTTGATTTTTGACAATTTTTTCATGCAGTTTCTTCCATACAAAAAAAATTTGTCGAACACTATCTACTACGCAGAATTTTTCTAAAAATGAATTTTCCTGAGTTTTTTTACAATGTTTAGAAATTAAATTTTCATGCTTTTTGTTGTATCATGACCTATATTTTTATAAAAAATTAGCGCAAAAAACTAAAATTAAATATTTTGCATATATTGCGAAAAATGCTCTGTGCCGGTACTTTTTTCCGTGAGTGTTAAATATAAAATATTATATTATATGTTTGTATGATTCATAAAAGTTATATTTTTATGTACATATAATGAATAGATTTTTTCTTTTCTTAAATGCTTTTTAATCGTATACATATTTTGTTATTTCGAAGAGAGNTTAAATATAAAATATTATATTATATGTTTGTATGATTCATAAAAGTTATAGTTTTATGTACATATAATGAATAGATTTTTTCTTTTCTTAAATGCTTTTTAATCGTATACATATTTTGTTATTTCGAAGAGAGNTGTATATGTAGAGGAGGTGAAGATATTTTGTCCGCATTTATAAAATTATAACTGCATAACTTTTCACCCACAATATAAGACTGCGTATGTGAATTGAAATTAATAATTCTGTGCTGAGAACAAACAAAAAATAATTTTTTTAATGAGCTTACTGCAATATCTTCAACCTCAAACAAGGAAATATCATCTTCTTTTATAATGAAAAAGAAGCCTTTCCTGAAAACTAATCCTTTAAATGTTACTTCTGAATAAAAGTTGTATTTTATAATGTCATGTTTTTGTTGGAAATCGGAACTGTATTTTAATCCTGTACTGCTGGGTAACAAGAACTTTATATTTATACTTAAATCAGGTTAGAAAAAACTTTCATTTGTTAAGTTATATGAGAATTTAAGCGCAGCTTTAATTGAAAGACTCCATGGAATATTTACCCGAGATGTAATTGAATTTGAATATGTTTTGAATATTTTGTGAACGGCTTCAAACCTCATGCACCATATATTTTTTAATGGTCCACATTTTTTTATGGAAGAAACATAATGCACTAGGAAATGGAACTTAGGTTTTAATGGTTTTTTAAACAGTGATTTATATAAATAATGGTGCTTTTCGATAAGTGACTTTAATGTATCCAAGGTGCTTTCATTTATTTTAGACAGCAAAAGAAGATCAACAATTTGCAAAAGTACTAAAAAAAAATCCCAAACTTCGTCTCGTTCCGGTATTAGGTCATGTATTATCAATGGCAAGTGATGAACAAAACACATCATTTCTCTTGCTGACATTTTAAATTTGGAATTTTTTAAGTTAATCAAAGCTATAGGGGGAGAACTGTTGCCAATTTCGGTCGGACCGTATGGAAACATTTGTTTTCTGTAGTTGAATGTTTCGAGGCTAAAATATTTTTTTGTTTCTATGAAATGCAAAAGAATTTCTGAAATGTCATAATGACATACGCCTTCAAATAAATCGTGCATCAAGTCGAAATAGAAATTATCAACAGTGTGAAAACTAGTTATGCGATGAAAAATACAAGTTTCCATGATGCCAGTCAAATTGTAATTTTGAATAGCACAATCAGAAGAATAAGATTGCCTGTTTCGTAAAGATTCGGTATGTTCTGATATATCCGATTGCATATTGTCTTTGTGTCTATTACAGTTGCGGCAATAGAAGTTGGAATTAAAACTGCTAGTAAAACCTAAAATAGAGTTTAAACCTAAGTTATCACCAGTGATGAGTGCAAGAACAAAGAAAATATGAAATTCACCCTCAGCAGTAGATAAAACTAACCCTTCCGTTTCCAAATGTTTAATAACTTCTATCAGTGGTTCAAATGAATAAATATTACCGTATTCTTTTCGATGGCGTGATTTAAAAAAACCTGCTACAAATATGTTTTCTAACGTTGATAAATGATGGTTTGGAATTGTTGGAAAATTATAATAAATACCACAAACTGATTGATTACAAGCATGAGAGCCCAATGGATTACCAACTCCAAACTCATCGAAATATAATATGTATGGAATAACCAATTTACTTTTAAAACTTAACATTTTTTTCTTCCAGGTTTCTCCATGAATTATATTTGCATAAACCTCCTGATTTGACTGTAGGTTTTTAATGTTATTTAATGTTGTATCTAAATTATTTTCAGTTTCGAAATATTTTTGGATTTGAAATTTTATTGGCATTAAAACGCCTACAACTTTATTTGAATGTAGTCCGGGATTACTATTTACTACTATTTCTGAAATTTCATCATTTATTACATATGCGATTGGAGGCTTAAAAATGTTTTCACGTTCAAGTGATTTGAGGAAACGGTATTCGTTAATTATGTCTTCAAAATGAGAGAAAAGGTTGATGAAACTATTTTCTGCATATATTCTGTTGTTAACGTCTTCAATAAATGGAGTCATCGATTTTAAAACATGTTCTTGAATTGGCTGTAAAATTTTCCCATATATTTCGTGTACAATGGAAAAAACATCCTTTCTAGTAAAATTGTTTTTGTTGTGCAAAGATATTACAAATTTATTCAAATCCATATGCGGCACTATATTTTTTTGTGAAGTCAATTGATTAGTTGGTTCATTTGCTCTAATCGAACTGATATATTGTCGTGCCTTGTCTTGTAAACTAGAACTAAACTGATTAGTTTGATCATTTGTGCGGATACTATTATTAGTAACATAAGTTTGGCATGATTTTTTCTGTATCGAATATAAAGTCCTATGAACTCTTTGTAAATGATTTTGAAAAGAATATACATTTGAAAAAGACTGACCACATTCAGGTATAGTGCAAATGAAGTTTTTTATCTTACTCCACACATGAAATGATTTTAAATGATCAATTAACAATTTTGGAATATGTACATGAAAATTGCAAAGAAAGCACGTAAACATTTTACAGGATTAATTTGACAATTTGTTTGTACTTTCCAAATAATTGATTAATAATAATATATTAGGGTTTACTGAGCATTCAAATTTAAAAAAGTATTTTTCTATGAAATCGAACAAATATTTAGCTTCTATTGGGTATTCAAAATTTAATACATGAAATAATTTAAATAATATGTCAAGCGCTCTTACAAATGTTGGTACCTTATAAAGTATATTATCAAAAACAATATAATAACTTTCTAATCTTGACAATTCTTTTCCTATGACCAAAATTTGTGGTTGCAGCGAAATACCTCTTTCCATGGCTTTACATTTCATTTCGTCATACTTTCTCTGGTAGTCATTTACACATTCACACAGCAGCACTGTAACGTTTTGTGCGTCACATATAGACGGTTTCCATTTAAGTCGCTTACTACCAGGAGTTTTATTAATGGAAACTAGCGGTGGTTTCAGTATAGAATGCATTAGTAAGGTTATTATGCAGTCGGCTGAGTCTAAATAAATAAGTAAATTTAGAATGACAACAACTAACAAAGTATACAACTTTACCCGAGTCAACATTGTCATCAATCATGAGTAGCATATTGTTTGATGCAGTATCTTTAATTTTGTCTCTCATATAGGGAATAATAACTCTTTTAAAATTGCGCCAGTCATTGATCAAATTTTGTGTGTTGTCGGTATACTTTGCCGTAAAATCTATTTCAATCTGCAATAATGAACGAAAAACTTTTTAAGGTATGCTCACGATAAGAAACACTAAACAAAAGCATGAATAAATCAGGGACCGTAATCATTATTTTGTGATTTTTATTTTTTCGATCATTTTTAATCGTTATTTTGTGATTTTTTTTTTTTCGATCAAAAATAATCGTTATTATTTTTTATTTGTTTGATAATTTTAAGTCGTAATAATGGAGCTGCGTTTTTATTACCGATTTTATGAATTAAAAAAATTAATTCTGAAAATAACGGTTATAATGTGATCGAAAAACCAAAAACCATAAAATAAAGATTAAAAATTATCGAAAAAATAAAAAATAATAACGATTATTTTTGATCGAAAAAGTTAAAATCATAAAATAACTATTAAAAATGCNTTTTAAGTCGTAATAATGGAGCTGCGTTTTTATTACCGATTTTATGAATTAAAAAAATTAATTCTGAAAATAACGGTTATAATGTGATCGAAAAACCAAAAACCATAAAATAAAGATTAAAAATTATCGAAAAAATAAAAAATAATAACGATTATTTTTGATCGAAAAAGTTAAAATCATAACTAACATAATAACTATTAAAAATGTCCGTAAAATATAAATCTAAAACGATTTCGCAATTATAACGATTATAAATATAGTATAATAATACTAACTAATGTATATCCAAGGGTGTGCTTAAGCAGCGGCCAATCAGCAAAGATATTTACTTTTCCATCGAAAATATCCTGCCGTCTTATTTCGATTGTTTCGTCCCATTTTTTTACTACATCACTCCAGGTCTCCATATTGTGTGCAAGCCACAATTTTTTGGTGATTGCATTCTGATCTAAAAGGGTATGTGTTATAAAAATATGCAAAATACTAAAAGCTCAATATTTTTTAAAAGATATTCAGAAACGCAGAAATTTTACGCTAAAAGTGATTAATAAGGAAAAAAATGGAAATGGAATATTACCATTGCTGTAAGACGCCGAATCTTTATTTTTTAAAACTTCTGTATCATTTGGAACTTCAGCTTCACGTTGCTTGTTGAGTTTTCTACGAACATTTGTCGCTTTATCGTACAGCTTCCCTGTAGGATTTTTGCCTTCTCGGCGGTTACAGTAAAAACGCTGCGAAACAATAGAAATGTATATTAAATTGATTTCAAGCCCCAAGTCCAAACTGTGTCCAAAACCTATGAAAATTCGACAAAATTTCCTTTCATTTACTAAAGTGGGCTATAAGAACTCCTAAATTTCGTACACAGTTAAATACTTGGATTTATAACAAAGCATTTATATTATGGAAAATATTGCGAATATTTAAAAAAATCCCCGTTACTCAATTTTTTCAGTATAACTTACCATGTTTTCAGTGGGAAATATGGCCACTATTTGCTCCGAAAAATTCACAATATCTTTCATTGTGATAGGTAGAGACCGTTCGCTGAAGTAGTTCAAAATAATGTTCACTAAAGCTTCTCTGTGAACATCTAGCAGAAATAATTTTTCTTTGTATTGTTGAAGTATACTATTTCCTTTTGGTGTACTATTTAGAAGCACATCTAAGCTTGTTTGCGTGAATTTTGTAGAATTTTGTGAATCCTGACTGCAATTCTGGCCGCTTTTACACAAACTTAAAGATGAAATAGTACGCGCCTAAAAAATAGAGCATTAATAAATTTATATTTAATAATAATAAAAATATATCTATTAGGGGCTTACTTACTTCGTTTTGTCGCCAATGCGAAAGTCTTTCCCGGAATTTAATCCTCATACCAAGCATTGTTTGAGGAAAAATTTCATTTACGTCTTCATCTTTAATCAGGTATAAGCCTTCTACATCCAAGCAACAATCTGAAAGTTTGTGATAAAATATTTAACATTAAACATTTAGCCCATTTGCATCATGAGCGCAAATTTTGACTGACTACTATCACAAGAGCGCATATGCAATTACTCACAAAAGTATTCGTTGTTTAGTTTTTGTTACGATATTCAGAATGTCTTGCATTATACATCTTTTTGGTTAATTGATTTAAAAAATGACTCATTTTATAAAAAAAAAACATATAAATCAATATTGGAGACTTTGTACAATATTCAAAAAAATCAACGAATTTCAAAAAATTATCATCAAAATTTTAAACTTCTTAATTAGATTTTTAAGAATCTTTTCAAGTAAACAGTTCTGTAGCTGATTTTTTTGAATATTGTACAAAGTTTCCCACATTGATTTATATGTTTTTGTTATATAATGAGATAGTGATATAGTCTTGCCACAGTGGCCAGTCTAAATTCGCGCACATATACTCAAAAAAATTCTATGCGCGCATGTCAATTAGGCAAAATTTTTTTATTTATGCAATATTGTTTTTATTTTTCATGTTTTAAATCCCTTTTATTTATACACAATCAAAAAATATTTTTTGATAAGCACGAATTTTTCACTTTTCCGTGTGATGCAAATGGGTTAAAGCTGAAACCACAACTTGACTATTTCCAGTTAAAGTACAGTGACTCGAACAATTGTCCGTACAGTAATTTTTTTTTACAATATTCGTAAGGTTTTTCATAATAAACGTTTTTCGTTAAATTTATACAACAATAAGATTTATACTAAAACAACTTCGTGTAAACCAATGCTTCAATCTTTTTACAAAATTTATAAAAGATTCAAAAAAATTTCAAGCGAATTGCGGAAGAACGTCAGTAAAAAAAATTTTCAAAAATCAATTACGCGATTTTTGTTTCAGCATAAATCATATTGTTGTAAAAATGTANTTATAAAAGATTCAAAAAAATTTCAAGCGAATTGCGGAAGAACGTCAGTATAAATCATATTGTTGTAAAAATGTGTCGAAAAACATTTATTCTGAAAAACATTAGATGCGAATATTGTAAAAAAAATCACTGTACAGACAATTGTTTCAGTCTATATGTATATATCGAGCTGAGCATAATTCCATGATAATTTTTTATTTAATAACTCACACATATGTATGTTTAACGACATTACGTTGATTTTAGAGAAGTCTTTAATATAGAATTTTGAAAGAAAATAAACTATATTGCAATAAGATTCCAAATCGTAAACTATTATCACATGAAAAAATTATTAAACAATAAAAAAGCACACAGCATGTTCAAGTCGTAATTACAATAAACAATTTCTACATGCGCCAGCACAAAGGAGCACCATAAAAAATTCTTAACTCACCCAATGGCCTTTGCAAAACGTTTTCTCCGAATTCCATTTTGCCGCAAATGATTTGGCGTAGACTTTCCAAATGATTTTCTTCATTTACGTTTTGTGTGATAATTTCTTCACCAATGAAGAATATATTCGCCTCCTGGTCGAAATCCATTTACTCAGTAATTTTTGTATGTAGACGTTTACTTAATAAGGCACACACACAATTCGCAATTCTTTTAACAATTTTCACACAACACCACGCAAACACCTTCAACTGCCGAAAAACCACGCAACAATGCAATAGATAAACAAAAAGGTAGCGCAGTAGCTGCGCTAACGGTCGCGAGAAACGAGTACAGACAAATTAAAAAAAAAACGCGAACACTTCATACGACCAGAGTTGCAACGGCCAACTTTTTTTCCTACCAAAACCTACTAAAAATTGCCAATTTTTTTTTTAGTTTTTATTTTTTTCTATGCCAAGTTTATTCATTGTACTGTTACAGTACTACTGTATATTTGACATATGACTTTTTTTAAATCATTTTTTTATACTGCTAGAAGATTAGAAAAGGTAAAAATGAACCATAATGTTGTTTATAGATCTGATGAAAAAGCACACGCAGAGAGCGCGAAGAGATTTATGGGAATTCTAAAAAATTTTATGGAAAATGATATGTCATACGAGCAGAATGACTGCCACCAAAAATTTAAATTACCAAAGTAAATTATTTTCGATTTAAACCTGTCTTCTTTCAAATGATATATCCACCTTTGCAAAATTCAATAGGGCGTCGGCGATATTTGTATGTAGCTGCTGAAAAATACAAATTTTCGAGAAAAATTGCCAAGTTCGGCGTTACGTAAAATTTAAGCAACCGAAAAAATTTAGCAAAGTGGGTTTGTTTGAACGCGACTAACATTTCGATATCTATTTTTTTAATTTATATGAGAATTTACAGACAAGAGACTTTTTAAAAGGCCAATAAACTTCTAGTTTTTTTTATAAATTACAATTAAATTAAAGGTATATTAAAGAAAAACTACTTTTTGAAAAGTGTAAAATAGGAAAAAAGTAATATATGAAAACCTTCAATGCGCTTCCTGCGTGTGATTTAAGAAAATTCCAACGAAAATATTAGCATATACATACATATGTATGTACCGTTTTTTTGAAAAAATATTAAAGTCTTTGTGGCTTTGCACATGCATATGTGTATATAAGTTTATCACAACTTTGTAGTCGTGGTAAATTTGTGTACACAAAGTTGTTAAATGTTTGAAAAAAAAAACGATTATCGTGAAACCTACCAAAATCCGTTCTAGCCTACCAACCTAGCATTACATGTATGTCAACACTGCACGACCGAATTCTGTTCTCGAGGTTTAATGAGTACATGTACATAGTAAGCGAAAAAGAGATGCCTATGGGAACAAATCAGGGTAGAAATTAACACTTGCTCATGTTAAATCAAACCGAATTTCTGGTTAAGATAAAAGCCAATGTAATTCAAATGCAGAAATATTTCATGTTATTTTAACCCCAAGCTTCATGTTAGAATCTTCGTAAAGTACTTCATGTTGATTTATCATGAATCATGTTAACTAAAAACCAGTGAAATTTTCCTGTGTGTGGGGAATGGTAGGACAGTTTTTTTTTGACACAGGTACTATATTTGCCATCTTCCAAAGGTATGGAAATGTAGATGAGGCGAGTGAGAATATATTGATTATATGCGTAAGTGATGGTATTACAAATGGTAGTATAATTTTAAGGAATTTAAGACAAATACCATCAGTACCTATAGCATGAGACTTTACAGCATATTCACACTAGAGTGCCCTTTTTAGTCGATTTTCAAAAACCGAAAGTTTTCGCACGAAAAAACATGAGGTTGGCAAGGAAAATAAATATGAAATTTGTTTTTTCCGACCACGTTCAAAAAATTAAAAGCGCTATGGAGCGGAAACCAGGCCTTTCCGCCCGCAGCCTACATATAAGCGATTCATAATTTTATCAAATACAGCATCACGGTAGACTGGAGACTCGGCCTCGCCAGCTTGAATTTATTATACACATATGTGCAAAGAAATGTTTAACCACGTCCTTTCGTACTAACCTTCTTTTCCCAATATCTAGGAAGCCGACTACAATTTTATATTTATTTTTTAAATTTATTTGTTAATGTAAGTGTGGTGGTTGAATGGCCCAACAGATGTTGCTAATAGCAAGGGGGCCGGCATGTTTAGGCCATAAGCCTAAACCAAGCTTTAAAAGGATGAACCACCCTAATATATCATCGCACATACATACACATATATGTACATGCATACGAATAAGCACATACACCCTTTTGCATTATAATTCCGGCCAAATACTTAATATAAACAAATTAGCTTAATTTCCCTTCAATACAGTTCGCTGTTTGAGGGTTCCGCTAAACCTTACATTTGTATATGTGTATATATACATAATTAATAAATAAAACACATATTTGACGGATAATTTATTTTTCGTGGCTTTATTTATTTTCTCGGCCTACATTGAAAATACATCGGTGCAACCTACGGCAACATACGGAGCTTCGAAGAAAGTAGTTGCACCTATGAACATGGTCCATCTTCGCCAGGAAATACAAACAGCCAGCATACTATAATACAGTCCACTGAAATTTTGCGACAGCACGAAGAGCACTTATCCACAACTTATTCATAAATACATTGATTGGAGCACCATTTTTACACTGCGCAGATCGCTTTGCCACAACAACTGAAGCACCAACACTTGCCGCAATCATTTACGATTTTCAAAAGCACTCCGTATTCACATTCATACATATGTATGTATATAGCTGGTCGTATACATTTAATCATAAACAACAGGATTGTCAAAGTTACGTGGTTAACATTTCTGCACTTTCTTGCACATATACATACATATACGTCGATTTCATCTCAGCAAACATTTGGAGTCATAAATGAGTCTTTAAGGAGTCCTATTTCGGAGCTATTACGCTCATAATGAGCTCATTTAAGAGTCCGATATGAGTGTGTTTCCCTTCCTACGAATGTCGACTTATATGAGCTTAAATTCATACATTAAATGAGCCTCAATATGAGTCATATTGGACTCTTATTGGCCTCATATACGGCTCATTTTGGACTCTTTTAAAACAAGTTTTGGCCTCATATA